GAGGCTGCGCGGGGTCCTAGGCGACCGAGTGCCGAGCCATGCGCGGTTTGTTGGATGGGTTCGTGCCCAACTGCCCAGCCTCATTGTGCCGACCGAGTGAGGGAGGCTCGACAGTGACTCTCGAGGCTTTGTAGCCCTGCTAGTTGCAACCCTTGCTGCCGAACCTAATCTACACAGAAACTGGCACTAGCAGCTGGAGCCATCTTCATCATTCTTGCTTTTGCTGACGTTACTACCTACCGCATGTTTATCCCCCAGCCCGTGGCTACTATGGACAAATATGATTGCCGCACATGTTTTTGCGCCTACACGGCTTTCAATTTCAAAGCATTCGTGCAGCAGATTTCTGAGCCAAAGACAGCGAAGCCAGAAGCTTCAAAGTGAGAGAGCGGCTCCAAGGGCATGGACTCGGCAAGCCGGCTGCTCACTTTTGAAACATCCAACTACTCAGATTTGAAAGCAGGTCGATACGTTTATGACTACCAATGTGTCTCCAAAACGTCCGCTTGGTCATGGTCCAAGTAACTGACTCCGAGTTGGAAGACGACCGAGACGCGCATCTGAAAGTAAACGAATGAGACGGCAAAGGGAAGGGGCGAGTTGCAAATGCTGTTCTCCAGAGACCAACACATGGGCGAAGGTGGCGCAAAAAGCATGACAGGAAGGGAGCCGGGAGCTGAGCCACATTTTTTTGAATTTGTGTTACCACCTTCCCCCTTTTCCAACTCATATCTCTGTTTTCCGGATAGTGACTCCCTGATTTTCTGACTTGGCTGTGCTGCGGACGTGACTCCAGCTTCCACAACTGTCTGACTGCGGTCTGGACATCTTCTGACTCGTTCCTGCGGATGTTCTTACTTCAGCTTGTTGAATCGGATCGGAGTTTCCAGCCTCACTTCGCAGTCTCTTGGGGATGGGTTGAGAGAAACTTTGGCGGCAAATTTTCCCAAGGTCTAAAGAATCGATCTCCGCATTCGATGCTGAGTTGGAATCAGTTCCATAAAGATCGAAAAGGGTAAGCAGTCGAGCCCTCCACAGCCCAAAGGCCACTCTGCAGACACAGGTCAAAGCAAGCTAAACAGCATCATACTTGAGACAGCCAGGATTTGCTGCGGAGCCCGGCTGAGAGGACGCTGTGCTGCTGGAGCCAATCCTCAGAAAAGCCAGTTCTGACGCTGGTCAGCTGAGGCAACCCAGCTTCTACTACAATGCACGCAAATTCAGATTCCCGTCCAAGGTGAAACTTGAAACTTGTTTTCAATTTTTAAATCTTCACAGAGCTTTGCCAGCTACAGAGTGACGCATGAATTCTAAGTGAAGTCAAGGCTGCTCAACACGGTCTGGGAACAACACCCCCATCGGCGATGTCACCACAGAAGGGTTGAACGACGCCTGGCTTTTGGATGCATTGCATGCAGCGGGCAGGATTTCTCTGTCACCGGCCATCCTGGAAATTCTCAGCAGGACAAAGCATGCAAACCATAGACATGGCAGGGAGAGATTGCACTGCAGGGGGTGGGTTGGCCCCCGCAGGGATACTGAGAGGTTGGACGCTGCAGGGATATTGTGCGGTTGGACTGCAGGTAGGGAGGGTTGGGCAATTCAAACTTTAGTGCACTGCAGGGATACTCTTCATTTGGACACTACTGGGATAGTCTGCGGTTGCTTCCCGGAGGGATACTGTTCAGTTAGGCGTTGCAAGGATACTTTGTGTTTCGGCATGCGGCTGGGCACTGGGGATACTCTGCGGTTGGGCACTGCACGGAGGGTGAGGAAAACATAGATAGACTCTGTGTAAAGCCTACTGTCAGCATTGGCATCAACAGTCTAACGACAGAAGCCAGCAGCTCCCTCGCAATGCAAACGGGGACGTCTTACTGTTGAATGCAAACCCTTCCTGGCTGCTGCTATGCAAGTTGCACAGTCGACAGTGCTGCCTCCATTTCTGCTTCGGAGGGGCAGTCTTAGCAAGTCACCAGAAGGACGTCATCCATGCCATCACGAGTCAAGATAACAAAGGAGGTACATCCAGCAACAGCATGCTACACCTTAGGAGCAAACAGGATCCATCAGTCGTGTCAATCTCGTCCAGGAAGTACATCCAGTCTGCATCAGGACTGCATGCTGCGCTTGGTTTTCACCCACGTTGAAACACAGAAGCTGCATGCCAATGTTAACACGATGAACATCACTCGCAGCCAACTCGTCCTTGCTGTAGTCCGCAGTCGTACGAGTCATCGTATGATTCATAGGAGTAACCTTCCGGAACTATGGCACGATGATGTAGAAAGGAAATGTTTGGCTTTCGAATTCACCTCGTAGCTACCGAAGCAGGGGAGAGAGGCAGCTGTGCACCTGTACAGTGTTCTCTGAGGCTGCCGCTGTACTGTGTGCCAAACTTCTCATTCATGTCCGAACTGCAGTGCGGAAAACATGGCAGCACAAATTTCTCGAAAGACCGTGAGCCTCTGGTACAGACTGGTCAAGGCTTGAGGGACGGCATTCCACTCCCAAAACTTACAACCCCATCTTCTCAGGGATGACTTTAAGAAGCAGGATTAAGGGGCTGAGTTATGAGCGAATGGGCACTTGCAAAGCCATGATGGCACCTCATCATCGGCGTTGTAGACCAGTACATTGCGCTCAGCAACCTGCCATCATGCAAAAGTTCCAACTGAGATCAACAGTCCACATCCAAACCCCCCTGACGGAGCTGAGGTAGAGGCTCTGCGGGAACGAGGAACAAGCCGATGATCCGACGGGCAGGCTGCTCAGAACCTTGCTGCAACGTAGCAACGGCAAAAGCCCGCCACTGATAAGGGTTTTAGCCTGAAAGCTGCCCAGGCAGCGTTCCCAACAAAGTCAATACATTATTCTAAATGCAACTGAGGCACCCCCACTTGTGCCGGACAACCACAGGTTGAACAAGAAATGGCTGCAGACAAGGTTGCAACCAAACTTCGAAGCATGTGGCAGCGTTGCATTGCAGTAGCATTGGAGCCAGATTCTATCGCATGGAATTGAATCTACGCTCGTGTCCAGATGCCGAAGTCACGTTCTTTCATGCTGCTAAGTCGGCAACACACACCGATTAGGCTTAACGGTAGCACCCTCCGCGTGTCTTCCACCAGTTCAGAACCCAGCCACCCCGAAACCCTGTCCAATCTACGAGTACCGACTATAATCCCACCCAAAGCCTGAGGCAACTGACTGATTGAAAGCCCGACCCCGCGCCCGGGAGCACCTTCAAGCTTCGCCTCGCCTTTGCCTTCGGTGAAGAAGAGGTTAGTGGACATTGGCCTTTGCATGGAAGGAGGCGGTCTGACCATGTCAAAACTGCTAGGCTAGTATGTCAGGGACTGTAGAGAAAGGGTTTAACCAGCAAATTGGACGTCAGCTTTGATCAGGACAGCGACCTGAGAGGCCTTTTCTGGATACAAGTCTCATACACATCTGTCTTGTGGTTTGGCTCTTGCTAGGCTACAAGTGGGTATGTGCGTTAAAAGGGGTG